CTATGTAACTTTTTGGTTGGGGGTCTGTCACGTGCGATTATCTTGATTTATTGTTCACTGTTATCACATATTGCAGTGTATCTCTGGATTATATTGCGCTTCAAATTTGCTTGATTCATGCTATAACTCACTAATGTTGTGCAATAATTGTCTGTGGAGAACTGTGGAAGGTGGGGTTAGTACATTTGCCAAGTGATTGGGCAATACAAGAAAACACACATTTGAAACTGATTTTGGAATTATAAAGCTGTGTTATTGTTTGCTTATAGTGTTTTTGTCACTATAATAATAATAAAAGTCAAACTTGATTGCGATACTAAGGAAAAGACTCGATACTGATTCTGATACCAAAATGATAAAAAACACACTTTATTTAGACAATAGAATGTGATTTTCCACGTTAATTGTAGTACTTTCTTTTATATTCCCATGTGTTCTCATAGGCGAGTTTCAACTGACGTCATTGTTATTAAAAGCCCGCGTTGCATGCTGGGAAATATTTTGGTCGGAGACAAACACGATAGCGGTCAAACACAGTGCGTAACCTCGTGTATTTATCCCCGATAATGGTAAATTCCTGCTGCATTATCGAATGCACAAATAGAAGCACGGAAGAAGGAAAATGTCTTTTTCGTATTCTGAGTGAAAAGAACCGCTAACGGTGAATTAAACGGCTTTCAAACATCCGCAGAGCAAATGTAGAAGATCCTAACAAACCGTGGATTCCAACAAGTTCAACAACACATTGAGACTCTTGGAGGTTTTCATCTTTTCTGCTGTGAATGGCCCAGGAGTTTCCACCAAGTCATTGTGGATATCGCCGAAGTGAATATTTAGCCAGGGAGTTGGCGATTCAGACCAGAAATTTGGTTTCGTCCACCTTTTGTCGGGGTTGAAAAGGGTGATTGTCGTCCATCGATGCTTATGACCAATTTCTGGTCAAATGGTCTTGGGTCCTCTGCCGTTAGAGTGGATAAATAACCGGGATCAATACCCTTTACGTGCTTTCTCGCTCCGTCCGTCATGTTGAATTAGTGTTTCTTGCCGCCGACCAAAGTAATTCCCAGCATGCAACGCGTGTCAACGTTGTCAACAATTAAACTCGCCTATATCTGTGCCATTTCTCAGTGGTCCATGGGCGTATACTAGTCTGTGTGCTTTTATACTTGTTCTGATAAAGCTCAAAATCATTCTAAAACTATTCAGAAAAGTTCATTTCTGTCTTGTGAATGTGACTTTTTTTAGTACCAATACCTGCTCAAATGAGAATCTAGTTTCGATACTCATTTTGGCATTGATTAGTATCTGATTTTCAGCCCTAAAAGCTTATAACTTTGTAAAAAATGCCCACATGTTCTTCTTCTCGCCGTTGTTATTGCACTTGTACATCATCAAATGCATAGTTTAAGGGCCTGTACGTTTAGGAGAAGTCAGAATGTTATGTAATCTATGTTGCGATTGCTTCATTGGTTTGCCCTGAATAAAACATCCAGGCGTGTTCTGTCCTGTAACCCATTCTGTTTTGATAAATTTTTTTATATCAAATGTTTTAAAGCAACACCGTGTAACTTTTATTTAAAAAAAAATTTGCCGAATACAGTGGGTGTTCTTGCATCTCCACAAACCTGACTCTTATTCGGGCTGCTTGTTTCTACAGAAATGTTGATCTTTGGGCCATAATTTTCCACAGTTTGGCATAAAACTTGTCTGTCTTCATGGAGAATGTTCCCAAGTATGGCTTTAATCTTCAATGTAATTTTTTTGAGTGATATTGTAACATATTTTTACAACTCTCCCTTCCCAGAAACAGCTACTTACTTTAGAATTTTGATATATTTATTTTCTTTCCGTGCATTGTGTAACTTTTCTGGTGGATTGTCTGTTAAATGCCTTTCTTCATGGAGATGTTGCTGCTTTGTCTGGAATGTTTCACAGTATGGCATTAAACCTTTCTATTTTCATGGAGACCAACATTCCAGACAAAAACAATGATATATTCATAGAAAAATGTTAGTGCACATTTAAACCCTCAAAATGTAGGAATGAATCGCTAAGTAATTAAATGCGTTGAGTATTTAAACTAAATGTCTTTATCCATTTTGCTCTTGTAGCTCTAATAAACTGAAGTCTTGCTCCGTGTTAGCACTTTCTGTTGGGTTTATGTGGCACTAGTTGGATCAGACCCTCAGCCACAGCTATGGTCCAGAAATACACAAAGGTCTTATTGTTTTATCTGCATTTCTCTCCTCTGCAGTTCACACACACTAAATCTCTCACTGTTTCTATGGGACTTTGTTTTTTGATCCACTCTCAATGAATGTTAGTCTATGACACAGTAATCCAAATTTGAACATGGCAGAAATATACCCAAAGAAACAAATACTTCGGAAGTATTTCAGAACCATGTGTGTAAATTGACTGCTATACAGAATTGTCTTATTTGCCCGGACACTGACTGTGCAAAATACCCTCAATTGGTACAACAAGGAAGACAAAAAGCCTAAAAAAAAAGACAAAAACAAATGGTGCTACTACATTTTATAGTATTTCAAATAATTTCTTAAAGGAAATAAGCCTTTCAGTCAGGGCAAAAGTTAAGAAACTGAAGTTAGGACCTGTTAGAGGCCTTTTAAACTGCACAATTTGCTGCATCAATCCAAAACATTCACAGTAAAGTCCTCCAGCTAAAGACCTGGAGATGGGACGTTAATCACCGTGCTGTGATACACACTGTTCTTGAGGAGATGGCCAAGCCACATTGAAGCTTGGGTCAAATGCAGAGGACAAATTATGAAGTGTAAGTGTAAGTTGGAAAGTTATTTCACATGGTGATCTGCTTGAGGCTTTTGAAATGTCAAATTAACAGTTTACTAAAAGTGTATTTGTTTCTTTTTAAAAGAAAAAAGTTTGTCCATGAAATGTTAATGAAATTTAGTATAAAAGTTTTATTAAAGTATCAGTTTTCAACATGACAAAATACAATTATACTAAATCAAAACAAGGAAAAAAACATAATTCTCATCTTGCACAGCTCTAATGACAACTTTAACAAAATCAACAATATCTTACTGAAGTTGGCTGCACCCTCTCTGGTTTCTAGTCCTTTCTTTGCCTTTATCTCTCTCTCGCTCTGTGTAGTCTAGTCTAACTCATAGTGACAGCAGAGGTGGTGCTCGCTCAGACCTACACTGTGCTTCATCGTCCGAGGAGCCAGACACGTCACAGCTCATATCTCTGTGTCCGTTGTATAATGCTAATATACGGTAATATCCTGACAAAGTCCCAGTGTAACTCAATACAATGTGATTTTCAACATTAAATTAGAGTACTTTTTTTTATATTTCCATGTGGTTTTATATCTGTGTAGTCCTTCAGTGGTCCAGGTAGGTTCCACAGTGGTCCATGGGCGTATACTGGTCTATGTGCGCTTGTACTTGTTCTGATACAGCTCAAGATCATTCTAAAGATGAACATAACTTGTGCAAGTTCCTCAAACACTGATGATGAAAACGGCAACCTCATCATTGCATAATCCATGCAAAATTTCACTTGTGTATCTCTATCTGTAAAATACAGATTGAACAACTGGAGAATATTAGTAGCATTAGTTTTGAATTAGTCCAGTCAGGTTCATTTGTGCTTATGTTATTGTATTTATGTTATTAGGTTCTTTTTTTTTTTTTTTTTCAGACCAAGAGTTTGTTTTCATACCTGACAGTTTCAATTGCATACTAGCGGTCTTCCTCAGAGTCATGTGATGTTCAAGCTTACTGTGACGTGTCCGCTCAGCTGATTTAAACAGGTTTTGGCGCTGTTTTCCAACCGGTGGAGGCAGGACGACAGCGCCATCTGCAGTCCCACTTCCTCAGGACAGTATCCCAGCTGTGTGAGAGTAAAAAAGCCTCCTCATCCCGGTTTATAGTCGTGTCAGCGCGTTTCCATATTTCAATTGCTTCTTTAATCCAGCGACGGTGTCACAGCAACATCACGTGACTCTGAGGAAGACCGCTTAGTGAGCAGTCGGAACTGTCAGGTATGAAAACAGCTCTTGGTCTGAAAAAAAACCCTAATAACATAAATTAGTTTTGAGCTGCCTGTGAGCTTTAAGCCGTGTTACAATGTTGTTACCTCCTCAAAACCTACATGGAGTTGTTTTGTTTCATTTGCACATGTTTGAGTAATCCGTTATTATTAGTCTGTCTGCATCTCCGAAGGTCAAAATGCTCCGCTCCACCTTGTGATGTAATGTAATGTACTCAAGTTAACAGCTTCTTTTTAGCTTTTGTTCAAGGTTGGAGGAAATCCCAGGGCTGAAATCATCCAAATGATTCTAGTGAAAGTGTGTAGAGTTTAAAAACACACTGGAGCAATTCCTGTATTACCACATGATATCACAAGAGTGTTTTTTGTTTGAGAGAAGAAGTCAGCCTACATCTGCGGGTTTTGTGTATGAATGAAACAAAATATCAAAAAAATGTTCTTGATGAGGGAACAACATTATAACATAGATCAGAAAATAGAGTAATATGGGCCCTCAAATATTTATAGCTAAACCCTTAGAGTATTTTTTAAGGGAAAGTGACTAAAAAGACTGAAAAACTCTCAAAACTATTACGTATCTCTATGTATCTGACCCAAACTGTGCTCATGCAAAAACAACTAGCAATGTGTTTATATAAAGACAGATTAAACTTGCAAATTATGAGTTTAGTCTACCTTTTGACATATAAATACCAAAAGGAAAAAACAAATCTTCAGCAAACTCTCTCACTTGCTTCTCCTTTCTGCTGTTGTCCCAATTAAATCCTTATAAATCTATATTAAATTACAGCTAATACAAATTTTGGTCGACTAAGACAATCGACCGATTAACTTACTAAAGGACTAAATAACTACAACACTGCAACACTACAGTCAATGTAAAGAGACTGTGACAATCCTTAAAATATATGACTTGTTTTTTTATTATTCTTAAGTGGAAGTTGTGTTGTGTTTTCCAGGGAAGGCAATGAACCCGGCGATGAGTTGACGGTCACCTACAGAGAGCTGCTGCAGAAAGTCTGTCAGTTCGCCAATGTCCTTAAATCACAAGGTAAAAAAAATATATATTATCTTCAAGTTAGGATAGAAATTGGCACATTATTGGTACCACTATAACCTTGATCTATTAATTAAAGAGGGATTTAACACCAAAACTCTACCCAGACCCTGGAGGAGTAATATAATAAAGGTATAAAGGAACAGCGTGATTGGTGAAACGGGTATCCGCACTTCAAACTCTGCCCCTTTCTGATTACAAACACCAGGGTATAAGTGGGGCAGATCTGGGTTATGTCCAGTGTTGGGAAGGTTACTTTTAAAATGTATTCCCCTACAGATTACAGATTACAGATTACATACACCAAAATGTAGTTTGTAACGGAATCTGTTAAATTATTTAAAGTGAGTAACGTAATCTGAATACTTTGGATTACTTGATTTGCTGTAAAGAAGCAAAGACGAGGAAATCTTCACATAAGCTCTTTTGTCTGCTAAAAGATGATAAAAAGCCCAGACTTTACGAAACCAAATTAAAAAAAATATTATTGATAGAAGAGGAGGAGACACGTCCACACAGCATGATTTAGTCCTGTTAAATCCTGTTTTAGTCCTGGTTTTAGACCTGGGTGTGGACCTGGGTGTGGACCTGGGTTTTGGACCTGGGTTTGGACCTGGGTTTGGACCTGGGTTTTGACCTGGGTTTTGGACCTGGGTTTAGACCTGGTTTAGACCTGGTTTAGACCTGGTTTAGACCTGGTTTAGACCTGGTTTAGTGTCCGGCAATGAGTGGAATTACTGGGGGAAAAAAAAAAGGGATATAGCCCAAATGTGAAAACAGGAAAATACCACAGTGTAATACATTTTTTTCAACAAAGTAACTGTAATCCAATTACCACTCATTGAAACAGTAACTGTGACTGAATACAGTTACTCATAATTTGTACTCTGATTACATAACTCCGGTACATGTAATCTGTTACTCCCCAACACTGGTTATGTCACATACAACTTGAAATGCCAGAGACCCCCTGAAGGCAGCAGAAGACACTTACAGTTAGGTGTTTTTAACCAGAAAGCTGCAAATTTGGCAAAAATAAAATGACTAGGAACTAAACTAAAACTAAACTAAAGTCTATACATGTAGGGTGCTGTAAAGTCATGGAAAATTCACTTTAAGTTATGAAAAAGTCATCGAAAATTTTTGAAAATTTGTCAGTGCAAAAGAGTGAGAACCCTGAATAAATGTAAGGTAGATCTGTTTAATGTCATACTGTGGAATATCCCACACAGAGAAATGACATATCCATAGAGACAAGCAGGCGATGGACCCCCAACTAAAACGTTACGTAGTGTACCATTTAATCTAACAATTTCCTCGTTAATACATAAAAAAATTAAAAGTATTACGGTGTAGTTATTTTTGCTTCCTGTTAATCCTTTACATTATTTGTAAATGTGTAATCCAACCTTCCCGTCTGTGGTTTTAGGAGTGAAGAAGGGAGACCGTGTGTCCATCTACATGCCCATGGTGGTGGAGCTGGTGGTAGCCATGTTGGCCTGTGTGCGGATCGGAGCAGTGCACTCTATAGTGGTGAGATATTTATGAAACACTGGTACACATCCACTTTTATTTGTTTATTATTTTATTTACAGTCAAAATCTTCGATCATTTAGTTGTCCCCATCTGTATTATATATTATAAGCCATCAGAATGTTGAGATATTGTCCAAAACACAAAAACATGTGAGGGCAAGTTTATTTGTGTAGCACAATTTGTACACAAAGTAGTTCAAAGTGCTTTACAGAACAAGAAATCCATTAAAATCACAATACAAACAAAACAAAACATGAATAATCATCATAAAATTAAAAAAAGAGAGAGAATGAGAGAGAAGAGTGCATAATGGAAATGTTTCAGTCATAAGGCAGCTGAATAGAACTGTTTTTGAGCCTGGATTTAAATAGAATCAGAGTAGAGGTCTGTCTCACATGTTCATGAAGACTGTTCCAGGTTTTAGCTGCTGATTCCTCTTGTTTAGTCCTGACTCTGGGCACCAGCAGGAGGCCGGGCCCTGAAGTTCTCAGAGTGTGAGATGATTCATATGGCACTAACATGTCACAGATGTAAAAACAAAAACAAGTTACACTTTTTCCTTTTAAGGGGGAAAATGAGTCATTTTGTGGCCACCGTAGTCTCCTCCCAATGTGAAATCCTCAGATACTACTGTATATTTAAGTGTTAAATAATATAAAAGGCCTTAAAATAAAAGACTGCTACTGCTACTGCTACTGCTATTACTTTTACTTTTAGTACGACTGCTACTACCACCACTACCAGTGCCATTACCACTGTTACTATTAGTACTACTTCTAGTATTGCTACTACTATTACTATTACTGCTGCTGTTGCAATTACTATTACTACCACTGCCATTACCACTATTACTGCTACTGCTACTACTACTGCTACTACTACTGCTGCTGCTGCTATTACTATTACTATTATTACTACTACCACTACCACTGCCATTACTGCTATTGCTGCTGCTATTGCTGCTGCTGCTGCTGCTGCTACTGCTACTACTACTACTACTACTGCTGCTACTGCTGCTGCTATTACTATTATTACTACTACCACTACCACTGCCATTACCGCTATTACTTTTACTATTACTATTATTACTACTGCTACTACTACTACTGCTACTGCTACTATTACTATTACTACTACTACTACTACTACTACTACTACTACTACTACTACTACTGCCACTGCCATTACCACTATTTCTACTACTACCACCACTGCCACTTCCATTACCCCTATTATACTTTTACTATTACTACTATTACTACTGTGTTTAACTCTTCACTGTGTCAGAATCCAGTTTAAATTCTCATTCAGGACTTTGTGTTCACTTGTGCTGTTCATTTAAATAACTTTCCACATGAACAGTCGCGCCTCTTTTTGCCCATTTTCCACACTCTTGGCTCGGTTTGAAAGCTCCGCCTGTTGCCTCGTGTAGTATTTAAACAAACTAAAATAAGTGATTCAAATGTTTGTTTTCTTTTCATTTAGTTTGCCGGTTTCTCTGCGGAGTCTCTGTGTGAAAGGATCATGGACTCTGAGTGCTCGCTGCTCATCACAGCAGGTGAGAGAAAAACACACACACATTTAGTTTTAATAATTTTTGAATATTTTTTTTTTTGTATTATGTAACTAAATCTTGACTAATTCTAAATAAATGTGGGTTATTTTGACAAACAAATAATAATTTAGAGTGAAAATGTAGTCAATATGAATTAAATGTGATAAAAGATGTGAAAATAGCCAAGCAAATACAATATTTTTATGGCAAATATGCTATTCTTTTCTCTGCCTTAAAGCCCCACTGAAGCTTTAGCCAAAAATACACTAAAATAAAGCATGTTTTTTTCATTTTATATATTTTTATTGCAATGTAAAAAACTCTCCTTACTGTGAGTGGGCTTGCATCTCCACAAACCTGACTCTTATTTAGGAGGGAGATGGGACTTCTGCTTGTTTCCGTGGAAATGTTGCTCCTTTGGCTATAATCTTCCAGAGTACGGCATAAAACTTTATTTCCATTGAATCATGCAGGTGATGTGACACCTTCAGAAAGTAGGGATGGGATGGGGGCGATAAACAAAAATATAATTTATCGTGATAAAAAGGGTAGACAGTAATCGTTCTTGGGACATTTTTAATTATCTTGATAATCGCCAGCGCAAATAATCGCCATTATATCACCAGAATATGCAGAAAGAAGCTACTTATCCTTAATATTTTCTTCTAGATCATTGTGGTTTTTACTTATAGCAAAGTATAACACTATAACAGCTGTTTAAATATGGAACTTATAATTATTCATATCCATAACATTTTTAAACGGTCAGCAACTTTAATTATTAACGTGATATAATTGTTAATCGCAATTATTTTGGCCATCATAATTGTGACATCAAATTTCAATATCGTTCCATGCCTACCAGAAAGTTAGAGTTTTGCTTTAACTTCTCACTCAAACTAAAAAATTTAACCTAATTGCGCCATGTAGTATTTTCTCCATTTCTGCAGAAAGGGGGGGTCAATTATTCCACTAACACTAATTAGCTAATATTATGTGAGTCCAACAGAAATGTGCTAAAACCCTGAAAAAAATACCCAATCCCGTAATAAATTCTTTTTTTTCTTTTTAATCACATTTCAAAAAGAAGTGTCATCAAGGATATATACATCAATGTTTATGTATCAGGCAAATATAAATGACTGTAAAATGTATTGTAGTAATTATTATTATGATTTGTATAGAAAATGTTTTTCTTAAAGCTTAAAAATTAAAGTATTAAAAAATCTGTAATAAAATCTATAATAAATGATGTGCTTTAACATTTGTGAATTATCCTTTTTGTTATTTCTGATTTAAAAGTCCTGGAGTATAAAACTGTGTATTCCTATTTGTGAGTTTCATAGTGACTAAGGGAAAAATTGTTGCCGTAGTGATTCACAAAACAATATTTTAGCCTATGTTTATTTTTTTGGAATGCCCCTTGAGAGGTCCCATCTTGTTTTCAAGTAGGTCAAGAAAACACTAAACATTAGTAACACACACGCAGACTTGCTGCCTCATTCCCTCCTCCCAGCTCCTGCAGAGGGCTGGGCGATATGGATCAAAAAATATATCTCGATTTATTTTGCTATATCTCAATATACGATATTTATCTCGATATCTGTATAGTAAAAAATAACCCCCTAAAACTGAAACTGCAAGAACAAATATGCCAAATTCCACAAGTGCAAGAGGTCGGCAGTTCATGTAGGAACAAAGAGCTTCTGCCACGTTTAAGATTACAAAAAATCCCTGATTACATAAATAATTAACTGTAAAATAACATAAATAATGCGTATTCCCTTCTTTTCATTCATAAATAAAACAACTTAACTCAGGCTTATCTTTTGCATTAAGTCTGTTATCCGTACCATAACCAGAACCATGAGCTCCTTCAGCACAGGAAGATTGGGAGGTTCATTATTTTAATAGATCCATGTTCCTCACCAGCGTAAGGAGCTCTGAGGTTTCCCACAATCCACTGCTCAGCTCAAAACGTTGTACAAGTTATACACTGCAGCAGATCGTTAATTAAAATCTTCTGCATAAATAAACTTTACATTACGAAACTTTACAACATATAAAGCATAACGACTCTAGATCCACATCAGCCCGTTTGAGATTACAATGTGTTTAATGCAGTTTCGCGCACGTGTTTACGTTTTACAGAAAGGAAACTTAAAAGCACATGGCTCATTTGCATAAACGGCTCGCTCCTCGTGCTGTTTTCAGCTTCTTTCGGACTAAAGGACACGACTCAGTGGAATTTGAGTGGTCTTTCTGTGAGAATGTGCTGCTGATGGTCTTGTCTGTGAGGAGTGAATGAGACACAAGCAGCAAAATCAGGGAGGCGGGGGCGACGACAGAGAAGGCAAACAAGCGAAGCGGTGAAATCAGAATTGAATATAAGCATTATATCGATATATACGATATGTCAGAATCCATATCAAGTTTAAAAAAATATCTCGATATATTTAAAATATCGAGATATCGCCCACCCCTACTCCTGCAACAGTACCTGATTTATTTAAAAAATAATAATAAAAATCAGTATACATTATATTACAATGATAGAAACGAATGGAAAAATAATAGAACAAACTGAAAAAAATAAATAAATAAAAAAGACAAACTAAAAACATAAACAAAGAGTTTTGAGATATGAAAACAAAGATGATGTAAATTAATTAAAAGATGTTAAAGTTCTTAAAGGTGTGGTTATTCTAATCTGAAGGGCCCTTATAGTGTAATGATTTGCATCCTAAATCTTTTAAATGACTAAAGCCCAGGAACTGAATGCAAAAGGATGGACCTCTATGTTGCCATGGTGGTTTCTATTTACTGCTTCATAAACTTAGATACTTTATTGATCTCAAAGGAAATTCAATCTAAAATGTTCCGTATTGTCTCTGCAGTACAGCCCCCTCAGAGCCTGTTAGGACACTCTGAGTTGCTGAGTCGTGTTCTTATTAAAGTCCCATTAGGGGGATTAGGGTCTGACTCCATAAACCTGTTAATCCCGTGGCTAAGGGGCCGTGTCGAACCCTGCACCATAGACCGACCGCCTGTAATCCACCCACCGGTCTGCGATAAAGACAAATATGGATATCTGTAATATATAGGTCACCGTGGAAACCAGCAGGTGACGCCACGAGGTCGAATCACATGTAATTGAGTGAATGCAGTGAGAAAAAAAAAGTTACACAGTGTACCTTTTTAGTCTGACCTAGTTTTGTCAAAGTTTTTGTTTGAAATGAAAACAACAACAAAAAACTCTCAGGCAGCTCAACTTTCTTCACCCAAAACTACACAAAAAATAAACATTAATCAGTCAGTCAAAAATACAACTTTTATAACCAATTTCGAGACTACAGTGAAAAAACAAAAATAATTCCAAAAATAGCAATGGTGCTTTTAAATATCTTACAAGTTCTTTATGATATAAATACGGAAAGATCAAATTTTTACCTGATTTATGCAATTTTATTTATTTACAATAGTTTTTTGTCACTTTTCATGGTTGTTTTAATATCTGGGTGTTGATTTTCGTAACAGTTAAGTCGTTAAGTTCCCATGTCTTGCTTGATTTAAAAAAAAAAAAAAAAACTCCTAACTTTTTTTTTTTACCAATGGGATAAGACCAATTAACCAATTAAGGATGTCTCGAACTCTCTACACAAAATTAATTCAAGAAAATATATATTAAAATGTTTGCAAGCTTATTATAAACTCATAATTAAAGGTGCATTATGTAACTTTTTCGTGGTGGATCCGTCACCTGCTTGTTTCTATGGATATGTCATTGCTCTGCCTGAAATGTTCCACAGTATGACATTCATTTAACAACTCTGCCTTACATTTATTCAATTACAGGTGGTTTTATAGCTCAAAAAATACCTAGAAAAACAAGCGTTCTGATTGAGCGGGGTCGCCTCTCCACAGATCTGACCTGTAACTTGGTCTGCTTTGGTCTCCATGAAGTCGCAAAGAAAAGAATTTGACGCACACTGCACCAGAAAAGTTACACAATGCACCTTTTTAAATTAGCTGATGAACCGCAACCTGTAAAACTACGAAATTTAATTATTCCCGTTGTCTTACCGTCATCAACAGACGCCTGCCCACTTCCTCATTCCTATTCTTAGCGCAAATGTAATTACAGACTTAAGACGCGTATCTCGACTTTCTGCTTTCTTGTCAGTGCATTTATTCTTTTTTTTTCTTTCTCTCGTTTGTTCAGACGGATTCTACCGAGGGGACAAACTCATCAACCTGAAGCTGCTCGCCGACGACGCGCTACAGAAATGCAAGGACAAGTACGTACCGGAGGTTTTGAAATGGGGCCGCACAATAAAAAAAAAAATTAAAAAAAATACTTAGACAAACTTTATTGATCCACAAGGGAAATTATTTGGACACAGTAGTTCATACATCAAAATATATAATAATAATAATTAAGAGAAAAAAATATAAATGGTAATAAAGATCGCAAAAGTGTGGTGTTAAATAAGACATAATTAAAGTGTTTATGTACAAGTAAAAATAAAATAAAAAATCTGTAATAAAACCTCTGTTAAATACAAGAGGTTGTAAGGAAACAATGCAAAGATGAAATAATGATTGACAGGTTGTAGGGAGTATTATCTGTTACATAAGGGTGACTTGGTGTACAGTTGTAGGGAGTATTATCTATTACATAAGGATGAGTCGTTGTACAGTTGTAGGGAGTATTATATGTTACATAAGGGTGAGTAGTTGTACAGTTGTAGGGAGTATTATCTGTTACATAAGGGTGAGTTGTTGTACAGTTGTAGGGAGTATTATCTGGTACATAAAGGTGAGTTGTTTTACGGTTGTAGGGAGTATTATCTGTTAAGGGTGAGTTGTACAATTGTAGGGAGTATTATCTATTACATAAGGATGAGTCGTTGTACAGTTGTAGGGAGTATTATCTATTACATAAGGGTGAGTTGTTTTACAGTTGTGGGGAGTATTATCTGTTACGTAAGGGTGAGTTGTTTTACAGTTGTAGGGAGTATTATCTATTACATAAGGGTGAGTTGTTTTACAGTTGTAGGGAGTATTATCTATTACATAAGGGTGAGTTGTTTTACAGTTGTAGGGAGTATTATCTATTACATAAGGGTGAGTTGTTTTACAGTTGTAGGGAGTATTATTTGCTACATAAGGATGAGTTGTACTGTTGTAGGGAGTATTATCTGTTATGTAAGGGTGAGTTGTTGTACAGTTGTAGGGAGTATTATCTGTTACATAACTGTAAGTTGTCCTGTATCTCTCACTGTTTGAGCGCAGCTGTAGGAGCCTGTTGATGAGAAAAAGATGCAATATTCGCGTTAGGTCACACTAGGTTAAAATGAAAACTTAAAGTGCATGTAAAGTTCATGTTTTTATAATCATGACTTGGTTTGGTGGGATAATATCTGTGGTTTGTATATATCATAGTTTAACATCATCAGTTAAGAGGCAGTTTGTGGGAAAAAAAACCTTGTGTGGTCAGACCTTGTTAAAGCCTGATCTGTGAAGCTCCGCAGGGCCGGGCCTGGTCAGAACATCAGGTGCCACAGTGGGGTCATTGTGTCCTTAGGCAAGACACTTCACTCACATTAGTATGGATGTGGTGTTTGTGTGAGTGTTGGTGGTGGTCGAAGGGGCTGATGGTGCAGAGTGGCAGTCTTTCTTCTGTCAGTCTGTCTGAGGGCAGCTGTGGCTACAATAGTGTCTAACCACCAGCGGGTTTGGATTGAAGTGCACCAAATTGTAATGTGACTTAAAGCATCTGTAAAAGCGCTAAACTAAGGTGCACTCACAACAGGACTTTAGAACCGTGCCCAAGCATGGATTCAGATTCAGAAAACTTTATTGATCCCATAAGGAAATTCATTTGCAGCATCTCCGAGCAAACACAAACACAAACAAACACACAGTGTGTCAGTCCAATTGCCGTCCACCAGTGGAACTCAAAATAAAAAAGAAATTGCAGTGTAAAACTTTCATAAAACTATCATAAAACTGTACCCTTAGAATTTAATAATTTAATAGCACAGGGCACGAAAGAATTAGAAAACCGGTTGGTTTTCCGTATTGGAGCATAAAACCGACGCCCTGAAGGCGCCAGGATAAAATCAGGAGCCAGAGGATGGAGCGGCTGAGCCAGGAGACCCTTGGCTTTGCTCAGCACCTGCTCCTCCCACAGAGAGTGCAGCTCCCTCAGTTTGATCCCTGTGATTTTCGAGCAAGTTTTAACAATATTCTGAAGTTTGTTTCTATCCTTCACAGACTAACACTAACACTGTGTGAAGGTGCACGTCTAAAATCAATCACCATGTCCTTAGTTTTGGCAACGTTCAAATCCAGGTAGTTGTCCTCACACCACTGGACAAACTGCTCCAGTGCAGGCCCATGATTTCTCTCAGATCCTGAAAGCAGAGACACCAGGACCGTGTCATCTGAATATTTGAGTACGCGTCGATTTTCCTCTGAGGATCTGCAGCTGTCCGTGTACAGAATAAAAAGAAGAGGTGACAGTACACAACCCTGAGGACATCCAGTGTTGGAGATGGAAGGAGGAGACCATTGCCCATTAACAAAAACACGCTGGACCCTGTTGGTAAGAATGTTTAAAATCAATAAAAGAAACTGATCTGGGTCGCCCCTAAAGAGCGGTACGTTTGTCCAGTGTGAGCGCAATTGAACCGTGATCAGGCGCAGCATGGATGAGACTTTGACCTGATTGGAGGAGCTGGGTCAAAGCTCGGCACGGTTGCCCATGTATGTGTACACGCACGACTTCACTATACAAGCCCTGTGTACACGCTGATGTTACTTACATGAGGAAAACGGTGAATAAAATCTGCTCCAAAACACACGGCAAACCCACGCTCACATACAATAAGGACAGTGACAGACGTTTAGCTGTCTCTCATCTCCAGCTGTCATCACTGCGCGGCGCTGTTTTTATATCAATACCGAGGAGCGTGTATGCACATCAGGCTCACTATTTAATAAATATTTCTGCTGCTAATAAATATTTTCTCTGCTAAAAGCGTTAGCCCATGTAAACAAACACCACTGTGTGATGACGTCATTGGACCATTGCCCGGTTCGGATGTGCAGGTGTGAGTGCAGACCATAGAAGGGCCATAGAACCCTACGCAGTCGTTCTTGAGCACTGCGCGGTTCTAAAGTCCTAGTGTGAGTGCACCTACTAATTCATTGTTATTAAATTTAAATCATACCTATTGTGCAGTTTAGACATGTTTTGACCGTTGTTTACATGTTGTTTGCAAGGTAAGAGTTATGGAACTACCTCTACATATGTCACGTCTTAGACTTAGACAAACTTTATTGAGCCGCAAGGGAAATTATTACATCTGCTGCCCATTTCCAACTAGGAAGTACATTTATAAACCACCAAAATGAAAAAAACTGGAAAAAATGTGCATTATTTGTAGTAAAATATGAATTATACTAGTAATGATGTTAACTATGTTTTAGGGAAATGAGTTATCTAACCTCTCATATGCACTTCAGCAGACAAAACCAAGACCAACCCAAGTCTAAGATAGAATTTGATAAGAAAAATTGGCGTTTTTGTCAAATTTGCTTTTCAGAAACAACTACACATGGCAGTACACTGTAAAATATAGGAGTTTGTGTTATTGCCATATATTTATTTTCTTGTAATATCATCATATGTTGCAGCTCTGTTTCCAAATATAATAACCTAACCTCAGTGCTGTCGGTTTGTGTGCAGAGGGTTTTCGGTGAAGAGGTGTATTATGCTAAAACACCTGTCCAAAGACGCAGAGGAGGGGTCCCAGTCTCCACCGGCCAAACGCTCATGTCCAGATTTACAGGTAAAGGAAATGAACCACTGAGACTAACCTGTTACACCTGCATTTTTGTGGATTTTATGTTTATGTATATTTTGTTTTTGGGTTTGTTTGTAAAATACAGTGGGCTTCAAAATACTGTTTTTGTTTGCAGTTAAAATGTAATGACTATGATTACTTCATACCAGGAGTGTCCAAACTTAAGGACTCTTATTAGTGCATGTTTTGAGACAGATTTTTATTGGAAATCAGGCCTCTTGCTGAAATAGAAATACTTGAATTACAGAGAAATACTTAAAATACTTAAATGAAAAGTACTGCTTACTTCACTGTAACCTGAATAACTTAACAAATCTTATTGCATAGTGATGAAGACTTAAATTAGACCTGAAATTAGTGTTAACAAAACTTTTTAAAGGTGTAAAATGCATCCTTGCGAAAGTCTTGCATTTTTAGTAAGTAAATTTTGAGGTTTTTTTTGCTGTAAAATGATACAAGTTATTAAAATATCTGGTTATAATTGATTGATTATAATTTACTTTCCTGATTACATAGAGGTAGATATATTTTTTATTTATTTATAGATTTTTAAATGCTTTTTTCCCTACCAATTTAGCCAACTTTACCAACTTTTTATGTATATTCATTCACTGTATATATATATTTTTTTATATTATTCTCAAATCCTGACCTGTCTTCACTTTCTTGTTGCCAAATTTGTGAAAAATTGGCCCAAAACATTTACAATTAATTCAAATATATTCCAAATAATGCTCACTAACCACTGTATTTTAGGCCAAGTCAAGCTTTTCATTTTTCAGAATATTATTTTTGCCTTTCCTCATGTATCTTCAATCCACACATGGAAACTCCCTTTTATTATGTTTAATTTGTTTTGTTTGCCTAATTTTCGGTTATCTTTCTCCGTCATTAACCTGTGCTCCTCCTCCTCCTCCTCCTTGTTCCCGTGGCAACAGGACAATCAGACAGGCAGAGTAAAGAAAAGGCGACCGGTGCCCAAGGTATTCTAACCCATAACCCCGTCTTTGGTTTGGCCTTTTCAATGACGAATTCACTCACACTGAATTTGCACTGCACTGCTCTCTTGTAAAATGAACTGAAAACTGAATTACTCTTTATTAGTGCATGTTTTATGACACTGTACTTAACATTTTTATTGTTATTATTATTATTATATGGTTAGCATTTCACTTCACATGGTTCATTTTACCAAAACAGCAGTGTTTTTATTCCCGTGATTTCAGACAGTCTGGCAAACAAAGCAGCTACATTTGGAATAAGACTGAAAAATGCACTTTTCTAGGTTTAAAATTTCAACAGATTTGAATACTACACACTCAAGTTTTTATGATGATTTAATTTTAACATTTGTGCTTCATGTTTAAAGGTACAGTATGTAACTTTCTGGGGTATAATTCTATGGAAACAAAGTTAAAACCATACTTAAATATTCTCCATCATCTCCATGGAAAGGTTTGTGGAGGACACATGTTTTTCACTGCAATAAGTGTAACCAAATTGGAAAAACACTTTTATTTTAGTCTATTTTTTGGCCAAAATGTTACACACTGTGGCTTTAAAGACAACCAGCCTATCAAAAAATGCCATTGGAATTGTCCAACTTTTTGAAGAAACAAACTCTTTTTAGTTTTATTGACCTTTTAGTTTTCATAATATTTCATTTACAACATTTTAATGGGTCTATTTTAAGAATTTGACACTATAAACCAGAGGTGGGGACTTGCAAGTCGTGACTTGGACTCGAGCGAGACTTGAGTCAGTATTTTTAGGACTTGAGACTTGACTTGATAAAATGGACTAAGACATGGGACTCAACTTGGACTTGATGGTCACTGACTTGAGACTTGACTCAGACTTGAGGCCTGTGACTTGAGAAGACTTGAAAAGCACTTTCTTTTCTTTCTTTCTACTTTCTATTCTGACCATAATAATTCACTCTTAAGATCTTGTCAAGACATTTAAAAAGGAAAAATTAACCAAATTAATTTCTACAACTGTCATATCTATAAATACTCATATATAAATATACTATTTTTAAGCACAATTTTAAAAAGTCATATAAATTGCTAAATTCTTGGTACTTTGTTTTAAAGACTTGAAATGACTTGAAGCACAAACCAGACAACTTGGACTTGACTTGGACTTATGGGCCAGTGACTCGAGACTTGACTTGGACTTGCCTGTATTTGACTTGGGATTTGACTCGGACTTGAGGTCAAAAACTTGAGACTTACAAAGACTCGGCCCCACCTCTACTATAAACATCACCGGTATTTTACATCATCTCTGCCGCACTTGTTTATACTGTCTGAAATCAGTGGAATAAATGTGTAGTAGTAGTTGAAGTAGAAGTAGTAGTAGTAGCATTAACCATTTCTCTTTTGTCTTGTGGCTGTGTCCCGGTTCAGAAACGCTCCTGAACCTCTGCTCTTCTTTTACTGGTTTTGTGTGTGAAAACTTCTTGTGTGTTTTTACAAATATGACTTTGAATTTAAAATATGAATGAATCAGGGCCAGAGAAACAATACCTCCACTTGTACATCCCCGGACCATAGTGAAGATGTCTTATTATTCTAAAATGTCAGATATATTAATAACAAAACTATACAACACCAAATTTTAAGTCCCAGTGAGTCGATTTTACTTTTGTTGTTTCTGACCCCTGATTCCTTCTCCTTACTCTATGAGCTTAGACTATGAGCTTTTTATTAGGCACTGCTTGTTCTTATCTTCTCACATAACTTTAGCAGTCCCCCAGGAGTGTTTTTTCTGGTGTTTTTAATGTGAAAATCACATCTTTTACATTTATTAACACTTCTCTTGTATTTTTTGCTTGGTTTTTTTTAAATGTGCATTATGTAACTTTGTGTTTGGGGGTCCGTCACCTAGTTATTTCAATGGATGTGTCATTTTTCTGCCTAGAATGTTCCGCAGTATGGCATTAAACAACTCAACTTTACATTTATTTAATTACAGGTGGTTTTATAGCTGAAAAATGCCAAAAAAAACCGCATTTTGACTGTGAGTGTGGGTTGTCTTTCCACAGATCTGACCTGTAACTTGGACTTGTTTGGTCTCCGTGAAGATAGGAAGGTTTAATGCCATACTGTGAAACATTCCAGACAAAGCAATAACATCTCCCCTCAACCAGAAAAGTTACACAATGCACCTTTAACACTTGTCACTAATATTATGTCTGTGTTTTCTCACTTTTCCAGCAAGCTTGGAGGCATGGTTTCCACACTAACTCTCTCCCACTGTTTTAGATGCTTCAGTGCGTTTTTTCCCGTGGTGAAAAGGGGGTGTGCTTGTAGTTTGAGGTCTCTTGTTTTGAGTTTTGTCCCTGCTGTGTTGCCGTAGGTGCCGTGGAACCCAGACGTGGACCAGTGCTGGCACACTCTGGTAAAGGGAGTCTCAGACCAGTGTGAGCCGGAGTGGTGCGAATCTGAAGATCCCTTGTTTATTCTCTACACCAGCGGCTCCACGGGAAAGCCAAAGGTACATTTAAGGTCTTTTTAGGCAATAGTTATACGCCACTTGAAGATTTGTTAGAAATGTTAAATAAAAAACACACATAAATTGTAATATGGATTAGATTTAGAGTGTTATTTTTGGTGTTACACAGGGTCTCCACGGGGTTTTAAAAGTCTTAAAAAGGTCTTAAATTTTATCTTCCTAAATTAAGACTTTAAAAATTCTTAAATTATGTTGTCCAAGTCTTATTTTTTTCACAAAGGTCTTAAATTTAATTTGCCTATTTTCTTGTATCCTCAACCGGGGTGCAGTGCAATGTTAAAAAGAAAAAAACAAAGCAAACGTCTAATTTGGAGTATGCGCAAACAATACTTTGTCTTGTTAGAATGTTATAAAGAATTGTTCAGCCATTTTACAAGCAACCGTATTTTCCGGGCTATAGGGCGCACTCTTAAGCCTCCAACCCTATCAAAAAACAACTGCGCGCCCCACAATCCAGAGCGCCCTATACACGAATCCACTCAGGTGTCCCAGCACGACTTCCGTAAATTACAAAGCCACAGAACACGCAAACATGCACAGAGCAGACAGCGACCGCACAGCGAAAAACACCCACAGCGACACTCATCACTCCACACGGATGAGGAATTGAACAGAGGAATGAACCAAAAAAGCGAGTGCAATGTGCCACTTCTAGACACAACTGAACAACTGAGTCACTGCGAACACGCTGACAATCCGTTGGTCCCAGACAGCACCCTCCCTACACGCCACAACTGAACAAAGCCCAGAGTCACCGTGAACGCGACAAACAAAGTCCCACTGACCCATCCAACTGTTGTGTTTCGTTTAAAGTCCGGTGCGGTTTGTTTGTGAAAAAAGTTTGAAAATAGACCATTCAATGACAGTGCGCCTTATAATCCAGAGCGCCTAATAATGCATAAAATACGGTACTATAAATGAGTTCTGAAAGAGATTTTATTATAAAAGTATGTTTTTTTTTTTTATTTAAAGCAGTGAGTAATGGTCATTATTAGAATTAGATCTGGTGTTTTCGCCTGCATAATGGGTGCGATGTTGGTCTTAATTTTCATTGAAGTGGTCTTAAAAAGGTCTTAAATTTGGGATAGTCAAACCTGAGGATACCCTGTTACATTTTCCATTGTGCTTGGATTTTAAAGGGCCCATATTACACTATTTTCTGATCTATGTAATGTTGTTTCCTCATCATAAACAGACCTGGAGTTGTGTTTTGTTTCATTCACACATGTTTAACGCACAATGCAAACCCTATTTAGGTTCTAAGAGTTCTTCTCTCAAAAAGAAAACACACATGTGGTAATACAGGAAGGGCTCCATACACCTTCATTAGAATGATTTGGATATTTTCAGCCCTGGAATTGCCCATTTCTACTAAACTAAGATGTAAATTTGAAAATTAACACTACATGACAAAGGGAAAGGATATTTTGAGCTTTGGAAATGTGGCCAGACTAATAAAAAAGGATTATTCAAACACGTGTGAATGAAACAAAACACAACTCCACATTTTTTCTGGTGAGGTAACAACATTATAACATGACTTGCAGCTCGCAGAAGTTTTGTGTAATATTGGACCTTTATAAATTTGTAAAACAAGCAGACGTACACTTCATCACATCTTGGAAATACACCACTGGTACTTAAACCGGTTGTATGTGATTTTGAAACCACAAAAGGAGGAAGTGAGTATTTAATCTAATTAGTCCCTAGCAGACACAAACTCTTTGGTGCATCACTACTGTAGTATTCGCATGCAAGAGTTGTTTGGCCGTTAGCACAATTTTATCACTGTTTTATCAGATGAGGAAATGAAGCAGGGTGGATCATCCCTGCTCAACCAGCTGTCGTCCTAAAGTGTGATACCGCAGGAAAGTTGGCAATAGAGAACATGTTGTAATTAAATGACAGCGTGCGTAGGTCTGACGTTTGTGAAAGTTCTGCTCTTACAATACAGCTCATGTTGGGAAAACTGAATTTACTCAAAAAACTTGTGTAATGGTTTAAACTTGTGTGTGGTAAGATAAATTACACAAGCAACAAAACTGACTGGGTATTTATCAAAGTGCAGAGACTTAAAATTTAACTTGGATTGATTGGCATAAGGATAGAAAATATTTGGGATGAGTACTCCCCTCAAAACTCCTCCTGTCTTACTCATGAAATTTGTGGATGAGACTTGAATATCAGTGGTAAATCCCTTTTGGACAGAGGCAGTGCTGGCAGTCAGTTTGGAGTTTTCATGTTCTCCTGGTGCTCCACTTTGGACTCTGCACTCTCACAGAAATTTAATTGCCAATGTAAGTGGGACTTTACAGTTTAAATAAAGGTGAATAAATAAATGAGCAGAAGGTGCTGAGGTTAAAGCTGCCAGGAAACAGGAGGCCTAAAAGACCAAAGAGTGAATTTATGGATGCAGTAAACCATGAAGTTATTAAGAATTATGTCTAGATAAATTGAATCTACCATCAAATTGACTTCCGTATTTCCTCTCCTCTCTGTGCAGGGCGTCCTCCACACGGTTAGCGGCTACATGCTGTACACTGCTGCCACCTTCAGGCTGGTGTTTGACTATCAGCCCGAGGACGTGTTCTGGTGCACGGCGGACATCGGCTGGATCACCGGGCACTCCTACATCACATACGGACCCCTCGCCAACGGAGCCACCAGCGTCCTGGTCAGTACTGCACCACACACACCAGAGCACGGGCCAGAGGTCAGGGTTATGGCATTTTACTAACAATGGAAATTATTGGGGTTTTTTTTCTGAGCGCCTTATATATGAATTTATTGGGGTGTCTTAGTACGACTTTAGTAAACTACAAAGCCGCACCACTTGCAGCATTACGGCTCCTGTAGTCAGGAGCATCGTGGAGTAATACATACTGAGATTCCTTTTAATATCAAAATGCACTTGTCAGGAGACACTCTTACAACGCCGACTTTAAACTCAAGGCTATTATAAAGTGAAAGTGCGAGCTGCGTGGGAGCAGTGGATGAGAGAAGGAGAACACACATTCACCAAGACAGGGAGACAGCGCCGAGCGACTTACGCCACGATCTGCCAACGGATCGTGGACGCCCGGGCTAAGGATCAGTATCAACTGTGGTCCGAGCTTTCACCAAGACCCGAATCATCGCTGAACTGTCACTGACTCGGATAATGACGAGAGGGATGCGAGCGTACTGGACGCCATAATTGCCCAAATGTTTGAACAGTTATGAGTTATTGTTAATACCCTAACAATTTATAATCCAGCGCGCCCTATAGTGCGGAAAATACGGTAAATGTTTTGGACATATTTTTGACCAAAGCACTAATCTCTCAGTGTTAGAACTTTGAACAAGTGCTGCGTTTTCATAGAAATGGGAACATTTAATTAGTCAGGCTGGCTCCACCTAGTGACTTTGCTCAGTTTTATTTCTCTCCATCGACTAGGTCAGGAGCTGTAAAGCCATGACTGGGTCCCTTTTTGTGGTACAGCACAACAGTAAACAAAGTGGTCGAGTTGGATATAGACGAAGACAGACATTCTGTGTTGACAACGATTCCAAAGATCGAGGATTTAAAGCTGAAACAAAGAGAATGTTTGGTGAATTTTATCAAGGGGAAAGATGTTATTGTTCTTCTTCCTATGGGATTTGGGAAAAGCTTAATATACATACGTCACGACCAAATACCAGCAATTGGTTAAATAAAAAGAATGCGCACCCACCGTCAAGCGAACGAATCCTAATGCTGTCAGACGGTTTCCACGACATGAAACTGGCTGATGAATCAGGCTAACGTTTAATCCATACTGTGAAACATTTCAATCAAAGATATAACCTACATGTTGCTAGGCCTGTCATGAGAACGAGCGCTTGCACAATGTATATGTACGTAATCCTGAAACCACTTTATGGCACTGACACAATGACAATAATGCAGGATCATCTCCGTAAACCATTAGTTGCAGGTCAGGCCTTCTTCTGCCCATAGCAAAATTAACCAATAATTTGCCACAAAAGTTACTTCACTGGTCAGTTCTACAGCTCAAATCTTATGTATCACAATGGAAAAAATACCCGCAATTTTCCCCACTTTTACCAAGTAAATATATTGTTTCATATATTGAATGATAAGTTGATATAATAATTATTGTGACAGGCTTATGTGCTGCACCAAAATTTTCAGTCTCCTTAAATTTTGACTCTGGCGGTCTGCTGACGTTGCCAAGACTTGGAAATAAATTGGTAGTAAATATGTCGTCTGAACTTGGCAAAAGGTCACAAACGCTTTTAATCTGAAGAAATAAAGATGGATATTTTGTCTTGAATAAATTGCCCGCTAGGATCTCTTAGCCGTGAGTCACTGTGACCTCTGCCGTGTTTCACTGTCGAAGTGTCACGGATACAGACATGAGCTAATCCTGAGGAGATGAACTATGAAATCACAAGATCAATGTCAAGTGCTTTGTCCAAGTGGTTTTAGGGACTTAAAGGGCCCATCTCATCCAAAAAAACTCTTTTCACATTGTATCTTCTGCACATATACAAGCACTATTTGGGTTTTGGAACATCCATTATACAATAGTTATGAAATCTTATTGATTTCTTGGAGTGTGTCACAGACCAGGAACTATGAAAGGCCGGCTATTGCTCATCCCCCCGCCTGTCCTGAGAAAGCACAGGCTCCGCCCTCCAAACGTGACGTAGGCTCTGAGTGATCCGCCCTTCCTCCACCCATCTCAGGGAGGGAGGGGAAGGCAGAAGGCATAATTGGGCAAACTTGAATCCTATAATAATGTTAGATCAAATTAGGTCGTCATAATCTGTACATGCTACCACTAAACATCAGTGGTCGTAATGACTGAGGTGTAAGGTGTAATCGCCATTTTGTTATCGTGCAGAAGCATTGAAGACAACTCACTAGAATAAAATGATGCCTTAAGTATGGTGTTGGTATCAATGTAATACTGTAGGACTATGCATCGTTTGTCAAACTAACGCGACGAGCTTTCTGCTACGTCAAATGCGTCATAGGTGTAGCTGCCGCGTCATCGTTGTAGCAGCTTTAGTTCCTTGTCACGTGGGAGGGAGGATGGCAGAAATACGCTGCAATTTGTTTAAAAAAAACACACAGAATCAATCTAAAAACCACTTCAGCAACATATACAAGGTCCACACATCACTCTTAGAAGGTAGAAAGCTCTGAAAAGTTGATTTTGCATGAGATGGGCCCTTTAAGGGACGTCACCCCTGTTCTGCTCCAGGCAAAAGAAGCTCATCGAGGCCAGCAGTTACAGAGTTTAGAGCAGAGTTCTATATTACGAATAGGAATTTATTTAAGAACAAAATAGGTTAATACGAACATTTTAAGACCAAAAAGAAAGTAACAGTTACAGAGAGAGGGGTGATTTTTTTTCAATACAAAGAAATGTGAGATCATTTTTGGGTTGTGAAAAGTGCTTATAAACTCATTGTGGTGAATACTTAGGATGATCTCAATGTTTAAGGTAAGTTAGGAATAACTTTAGATCACTGCAAACTGTTTAAAATGAGCTAGGTACATTTTTCACGTTTTGAAGACAGTAAAAATCAGGTACAATGCTTTTAATAAACTATTTGTTCATTATGAATTACAAATTATTCAGGCTTAGTAACTTCTTGATTAAGGGGTTAGGATTTAGGGTATTAATTATTCTTGATAAACTATTTGTTCATTATGAATTTAGGTTTTGTTCATGTTTTATTAAGGCTAATTAAGGTGTAGCTAATATAACATTACAGATTATTGTGTTGTAGTTATGACAGGATTTGTGATTTAATTTTTTGAATAGTGATTTTGATTTTTGAATTGTCATTTTGAATTTTGAATTGTGATTTAAATTTTTGAATTATAATGATTTTTTAGTTGTGATTTAGATTTTTTTTAGCTATAATTTAGATATTTGAATTGTGATTTAGATTTTTGAGTTGTGATTTAGATTTTTTTGTTTTAATTTCGATTTTTGAATTGTAATTTGGGTTTTTCAACTGTGATGAGGAGTTCTGAATTGCTTTCTTGCCTGTTTTCCAGTTCGAGGGGCTGCCCACTTACCCGGACGTGGGGCGCATGTGGGAGATCGTGGACAAGTATCGCGTGACCAAGTTCTACACGGCTCCCACGGCCATCAGACTGCTCATGAAGTACGGCAACGAGCCCGTGCAGAAGTGAGTCCTGGTATTTGGCTGGCTATTTGAAAAGAAATAGAATAGAGAGCCTTTATACAGTATAATGAAATTCAGAGCTGCTTCGTCAAAGTGCAAGAATTAAACAAAATAAATAAAACAATTAACAGTTGTCATTCAGTGTGGTGACAGTTTAGTGGAAGAAACTGTCCCTGAGTCTATTGGTCCTAGCTGGACTTGACCTTCAGGCAGGAAGGCAGGTTGAACAGGTGGAATCCAGTGTGTGTATTGACTTTAATGACTTTTCTCGTTCTGCTGAGATAGCGGGAGATTTGTAATGCTCTTAAGGAAGGCAGAGGGCAGCCAATAATGTCTTGTGCAGTGTTGGTGACCCTCTGCAGATGCTTCCTGTCAGCCTCTGTGCAGCGAGAGTGCCACACTGTCACAGCAGAGGTCAGCAGGCTCTCAGTGGTGGAACGATAGAAGGTCACCAGCAGCTTGTGTTTAGTTGCTGCTTCCTTAGCACCCTCAGGAAGTGTAGCCGCTGCTGGGCCTTTTTGACCAGTGCCGAGGTGTTGACTGACCAGGAGAGATCCGCAGAGATGTGAACCCCGAGGAATTTGAAGGTCTCCACTCTCTCCACACTTTGTCCGTTGATGTACAGGGGGGCAGGGTGTGGCTCTGTTCCGCCGAAAGTCCAGGATGAGTTCCTTAGTCTTGGTGATGTTCAGTGCCAAGTCGTTAGTTGCACACCACTCGCTTTATTATTCTGATTCATTAACAAAATACTTGTGGAATTATTTCAGTAATTTCTAATGGTCAGTGATCTGCTTGGGTGTTTTTAATGAAGAGGTCTATAGTCAATCCTCTAGCTGTAAAAGAGTGTGTTTTTAAGCAGAGTTCAGACTGGTGAAAGAAATTTGACTATTTTTGTGTTAAATGGCACTGATTAAAGTCTGTATTAGTTTGTTTATATATCTTATTTTGATTTTTGTTTTGTTTTTTTCTAATAAAATAAAAATAAATAAAAAGGATTCTGTGTATAGGTTGGCAAAGATTCTGGTAAATAAATTAGACATTTTATTTTATTTTTATTTATTTATTTTAATTTGCAATTTATTCAGTGCTTTATTTCTGTCCACATAAGTCACAGTATATATGCCCTTTTTCTTCCCCCTCCAAATGTAGAAAACGAAAATTAACTAAATGACTAAATAATACCATTAATACCATAAAATAGATAAATAATAAATTAGACGATTGATTCAAATGGCTCAGCAGCAGCAGACTGGAGATTTCTACATTTCAGTTGCCTGGTGATGTATGATATGATAACACTCTGTAGTTTTTTATACAGATTAAACTTCTAAATGGAAACTAAATTTGCTAAAGTGTCTCCTGATGGACTGAGGTTTGAATGTCTGCTTTATGGTTTATGCACGACCAGAGATCTGCGAACTGAATTGTCCTTTGGGATTAATAAAGTACAACCAGATTTGTACTTTTCAGTGAAGCATGTGAAACAAAGGGGCTGCTTGTTCTGATGGGGACAGACGAAGTGTGTATTCTGGATCCCAGGAAAACGTTTTAGTCTATTTGAATGAACGGCTTTGCTGTATTAGAGTAGAATTTGATTTATTCCAAGTTATTGAATCAGTTTATTTGTTAATTAGGAGGTGTTGTAGTTTGACATCTGTCCTTTTGCTGCAGATACAAGCGTGACTCCCTGAAGGTGCTGGGGACAGTGGGAGAACCCATTAACCCGGAGGCCTGGCAGTGGTACCACAGCGTCGTCGGGGACAAGAGGTGCCCCATCGTCGACACTTTCTGGCAAACGGAAACTGTAAGAAACTTGGAGATTTACCCAGAGAGAATGAATGTCCTGCTTCCACAAACTTTTATATTATCTGAAACATTCTTTACAAGTTCTAGCTGTAACATGTGCTCTTATTCTTTCAAAAACATCAATACTTATACTAGAGAGGCCTTTTGAGTTTCTTCTTCAAGCTGAGAGATGCTAGAGGCAGAAGCTACGAAACCAAAGTGAGGATGCGGACATGGATGATCTTCATATTCATGTAAAATACTGTCAAAAACATAGAGTATATAGTACACTAACGCAGTGTTTCCCAAACTTTTTTTCTAGGGACCCATATTTTAAAAGTCATAAACCTTTGTGACCCAAGTCAATAGACATTATTCGTAAATCACAAAATAAAAGTGGATTTGACCATTATTGAACATTAATGTGGATATTTTATTGCTGACTGAGTGATCGTGTCTCTGAACAATTAGTATTACTCAAGTTTTAAACAATGAAAAACAGTATTTAAATCAGCAATAAAAGGATCCATAAGTCGCCTATTTGGACATTAAATGTAGCCAGTTTCTTTTTCTTTTCAACATTCAATTGAACCAGCAAAATTGGAATGAAATAGTCAATAAAATAACTACTAAAAGATTAGAAATTATACAAAACATGTCTTAATATTTCAACATTTCTAATGAGATAGGTGGGCCTGTCTGGGTTTTTTGTAGCGTGTTCCAGTCCGGGTGCAGGAGGAGAGCGCAGCAGCAGATCCAAACTGTATATTGCAGATCTACATGCAGATCGTGAATAAGGCAACCCAAAAAAAATGTCTTTGCGACCCAGTGTTTGGGAAACAATGCACTAAGAGACCACTGGCTTCACAATATCACAGTCAAATCGAATTTGCGTTTTGAGTTGACGCAATTATTAAATCACAATTATTTAGTTAAAATTTGTCAAAATACCTGTCTTAAATTGCTCTTTATAGAATCTTGTTGTACCTGTAGTTTAGATCTGTACAAATATGTTCTGAAATACACCGGATTCACGTATTAGTTTATAGGTTCATATTTCAGTCTTATCTCAGATTTTAATGCTCCTGTAGTTATTCACAATGTACACTCTGAACAGAATCCTATTTTTTACACATATGGCAAGTCTAATCGCAATACTTGTCAGAAAAATTTTACTTTTTTCTTTCCAAAACTATGCAGCCTGACTGTTTTCAAACATATAAACCTTTTCTGCCCTCTAGTGGAACTGACATGCACATTGCACCTTCTCCACCAGAGTCCTAAGACTATTGGAACATGTTAAAATTCTTTCCATTAAATTATGAGTGCATTTATCATTGAAATTAGTTATAATATGCCATTACTACTGTATTTTAGCCTTAATTGGAGTTTACTTTTTCCAGGGGGGACATGTTCTGACACCACTTCCTGCAGCTACACCAACGAAGCCTGGATCAGCAGTGAGTAAAAATTATTATGAAAAAAACATAATTTCATTCATCATTTACTCATATTAAATACATTTTTATTATTTCTCCCTAAGACATTTCCATTCTTTGGTGTTGTGCCCGCCATTTTGAACGAGTCTGGAGAGGAGCTGGAGGGACCAAGTGATGGATACCTGGTTTTTAAGCAGCCGTGGCCCGGTATCATGAGAACAGTGTATGGGAACCAGCAGAGATTTGAAACCACGTATTTTAAGAAGTTTCCTGGATACTACGTCACAGGAGATGGTATGGGAAAGATAACTGCTGTTTAATATTGGATAAAAAGTGTATTCTATAAAAAAAAATTACTGAAAATCTATAAAATCTTTGTTGTCCAGGCTGCAGAAGAGATAAAGACGGTTACTATTGGATCACAGGGAGGATAGATGACATGCTGAATGTATCTGGTAAGGACCGATTATGTAAAAAAAAATTTTTTAAAACTACTATAAAAAAAAAAATAATTAAAAAAATAGCCAAAAGTTATGGTTAAATTGTAATATGTATTAGACAATGTATTGTTTATAAAGTGAGGGGAATATGACTTTGACAGCATACTTCTGGGTATAAAATGTTTTGTTTGGTAGCAAGGGCATTGTTCTTTTTGTTTTTATTTCAGTGCATCTATAAAACAATATTGGTCTGTTTTCTTTTTGAATGTGCTAATGGATATTTCACTAATAATGGCATACAGTAAAATGTGAACATTGTTAAATGGAAAATGGAAGAATTTCAAGCTTCAGTTTGCACAGCAGATTTTCAGAAAAGTCCAGAAGCGTCAACATTTTAGAGAATATTGAATTACTGCTTCTAGTTTAAATAAGTACTGCAATCACAGTTGAACTTGGGTTGTCAAGTAGTAAGTACTCCAATCAGAGCAAGTCCTCTAAAGTTTAAACCAACTGGATTTCAACATTGAAACCGGCAAAATGAAAGACTCACGTGAGATTCATTCTGCGTTCTGATTGGATGAACATGAAACCTAACCCTGAAAACCAAAACGTCACATTATAAAAAATAATATACATCTTGGCCAGAATAGACCACAATTGTTATGATATCTGGTATAGTATATCTCTTATTTGGGGACATGGATACTGTAGGTAATGTTTATGGAATAAAAAAGTTCTCCCTTTTTCAATACAACATTTGTATTGGCAATGATTCAGATCTACTAGACTGATACTTTAACCTTTGTGATTGGTCAATAATGATCATCCAAATGGCTGTTGTTCACATTTTGACATTAACATATTTACAGTTATTAAAAAGTAATAGGAGGAGATCTGAGTCGCTTTGAATTACAATCAAAGTCCTTCATTTAGGCAACACGGACATGCGACTGGCGACAAACATGATATTTGTTGTTATTTACTGAAGCCTAAACCTCCTGTCATCACCTCTCAGGGCACTTACTGAGCACGGCGGAGGTGGAGTCGGCCCTGGTGGAGCATGAGAATGTGGCAGAGGCGGCGGTGGTGGGATGTCCTCACCCAGTCAAAGGGGAGAGTCTGTACTGCTTTGTCACCCTGACCGAGGGGGTGAGCTACGGCCGTGGGCTGGAGACCGAGCTCAGGAACATAGGTACAGGACCTGGCGGGGTGGCTTGGGGGGGCTGGGATGATTGTCTGAAGATTAAAATGCATGCGATAAATACATGTTTCTTTTCACAGTGAGGGAAAAGATCGGTGCCATAGCTACACCAGACTACATCCAGAATGCACCGGGGCTCCCCAAGACGAGATCTGGTATGTACAGCGTTACATTTTGTAGTAGTTGAACAGTGGGTTACAGAGCAGCTCTTCTCCATTAAAATTAATCATTTGGTTCCCACATGGAGAAGTTTGAATGGAACATGTAAGGCAACCAGTGAAACCTTTGTTAACATGGATGTAAAGGTCGAATTAACTTAAAGGTGCACTGAACACCTGCTCAGTGCTCTTTACTATGAGTGGGTCACCTCTCCATAGAAGCGACTTGTAACTTGGTTGCACAACTTTCTTGTGTCCATGTCTGTGCTCTTACGATTTTGGAAAACAGTACCTTGGGCCTTAACCTGCAAATAGAGGACACCGTTTTTTTTTCTCATTCTCAGTATATGGAAAGGCCATGGCTCATTGGAAAGCTCAGAGCCTCCTGTAGTCCCTCACTGAGCTGCAGAGGCTGCACTAGCACTACTGACTGATGATTGGCTGCAGGTCCTGGGGTTTAAGTAGTGACCATTCAGATCAGAGAGAGGCATTTTAGGCTTAAACCAACTGGATTTCTGCGTGAAATTGGCAACACAAATGAGTGTGAGGCTCATTCTGCTTTGATTGTATAACCAGAGAGAAGCAAAACACCAAACTATAACCTAAATAAGTGGGACATTATGTAAAATGTTTCTGTAATTAAGAATAAATCAGCACTTAATATGTTCTGTATAATTGTCCTTATATAACTATACAAAAATGTCATATCTCAATGTATTCTCCTTGTGTTTTAGGTAAAATCATGCGGCGCGTGTTGAGGAAAATCGCGTGTGGAGAGCGTGAGCTGGGAGACATCTCTACTCTGGCCGACTCGTCTGTGGTGGATCACCTTTTCCAGAACCGGTGCTGCACGGCGTGATTCCCCCCTAGTGGACACTCAGTGGAACTACAGCTACGCACCACCACCACAACCAGAGCAAAACAGGAGGAGGCAGGACTGTCCGCGTAGCTGGTCCTGACCAAGATGGACGCTATGTAGCTGTGGGGGATGTTTCAGACCCTATATATTGACTGAAAGCATTACCAGCACTGAGACTGGTGCATCTATAAACGCAGAAAGGAACAGTACTTTGCTGATTTTTTTAAAGTCTACGTGTAGGCTTGCAAGCTATTCAGGTTAATACGGTGCAATGGGATCGAAGAGGAGGACTTTACGCTACAGAACTGTGCAGAGGTTTTGGTATTTAGAACCAAAAATGTCAATCGAAATGAGGTCGCGTAAAAATTTCAGACACGACCAGCCGCATATGTAAGGAAAGAGCAATGAAGATGAAGTGGGACACGAAGTTTGAACTAGAGCTGTCCAAAAATGGATACCCAAATACTAATCGATACTAAAACTAGTATCGCAAATAGAACAGTTATTAATGTGTCTTTTCAGTCTTGATAAAACAAAATTTGAGTTTTAGAATGATCTTGATCTATATTAAAAGTAGTTTGAGTGTTGAAAATTACATTAAATTGTGTAAAAAAAAAACAAAAGTAAACGTAGATGTTTCATTGTGTGGTATCAGCAACAGTATTCAAAGTAATTTTTCTCTCTTTAGTAGTGAAATTGAGGTAATATTTTACCTATCATGACCACACTCGTTTAAAATGTCACCAAAAATATGTAAAATTATAATTTAACGAAAATTCAAGCTAAATTGAGAACCTAAAGTAACTTTTCTGATTGTCCGTCGAGCTCTTTTCTCTGTGTAGATGTTAGTGCTTTGTCTGGAATGTTTCACAGTATGGCATTAAACCTTTCTATCTGCATAGAGACCAAACCCAGACCAAGTTACAGGTCAGATCTGTGGAGAGGCGACGCCACTCACAGTCAGAATGCTTTGTTTAAGTTTTTCTAGGCATTTTTTACACTATAAACCCACCTGTAATTGAATAAATGGTAAGGTAGAGCTGATTAATGCCATACTGTGGAACATTCAAAGCAAAGCAATGACGTATCCATGGAAACGAGAAGGTGACGGACCCTTAACGGAAAAGTTGCGAGTGTTTTAATGTGATAAAGTGACATTTATCTTGCATAAATACATTATAAAAGCAGCTCTTAGGGTCTAAATGGGACCTCTGCTGCCATCTGCGTCTAATTATGAAGTGTTTTATCATCTGAGAACCAGGAACGGTGTGGTTAGCATGCTAGTTGTTAGTTCTGGCCTTGGAAAGTTGTGAAAAGCCCTTAATAAACCTATCACTGTGAATTATTCGGATGCTCTGAATATGAAAGAGGAGTAACTTTGGACCACTGCAAGCTTTAAAAAAAAAAAGAACCGCTTCTGTTTTTCACATTTTTAAGACTTTAAAATCAGGCACCTCGTAATTTAATAATCTATAATTCAACAAAAAAGTGAAACTAGAACTTCTGCACAATCCTGTATATTTCAATTTGACTCTCTGCTTCTTCCTGTTGCAAAACGCCATATAACTGATGTAAACACTGAAGTCGAGCTTATAATGTTGTACTAGTTTATTTTTATGTATTTTTTTTAGGGAAACGTGTAGATTTTTGTCATGTTTTTGTTGTGCTTTTTATGATAGTATTCGTTCTTTCTGTTAAAAATGTCTGCATGTTATAATATCACGATGAGGAATTACTCAAATTTCACACGCGGCCCAAACTTTGCAGTATTTGACCAACTGAAAATGATCAAAAAGTGTAAGATTTCTACACTTACTATTTTAACAACCAGGATAACTGCGGAAAATAATGCAAATTTTGTATTTCTTAAACTGCTGGTTCTGTTGAGTGTTATTACGTGAGCGCAACCTGTCCATGGGTTTCAGGAAAATGGAAAAATTATGACTTGTTGCCATAGAGATCGACAACAAGTCCTCAAAATGGCATCCATACTAGGAAAATGTCACGGGAACACTTGAACGCCGATGCAAAATGAAGAGACATGCTTGTAGCTTTAACCAACGTCGGCTTTGGTTGTGGTTAATGACTAGTTTTGGCTCAGATGTTTGGAAAATAATTTGTTCCGTCAGATTTTGAATTTTAAATACCGCTGAATTTCTCGCTTTGAAATTTTAAACTGAAACAACATGTTTGATTTTTTATTTTTTTTTTAGTGTATGTTTTCACAATGTTTAAAATTCAATATAAAAAAAAATCAACCACCTTTTTAAGTATTCTGCACAAATATTTTCAAGCCTCAAATTCAACAGACAAAGTTCAGAGCATAAAATTCGCAGCAAAGATCCAAGTTGCCAAGGCAGAAGCAATCGATCCAAAGTGATCCTATCTGACTTGGCAACAAACAGAAAATGGTGCAGTGAAGCGATCTGATTGGTCAGAATTAGCCTCATTAACACCTCAAGCCCCGCCCACAGATGAGAACAGCCAATAGGAAACAACCTCTGTCCTCTTTACTCACCCACAATCGATTGCTTCTGTCTTGGCATCTTGGATATTTTCTGCAAATTTTACCGTCTTGAATTTTGTTTGTTGAATTTGAAGGCTTGAAAATATCTGTGCTGAATATTTAAAAGGTGAAATTTTTATTCTGAATTTGAAACATCATGAAAAAGTACACTAAAATTCAGAAAAAAAAAAAAATTCCAACATGTTTTTTCAGAGTTAAAAAAATTCAAAACAAGAAATTCAGCAGTGTTTAAAATTTAAAATCTGATGGAACAAATTATTATTTATTCAGATTCTGTACACATGCATGTTTTTTTATTATTATTATTATTATATATCCATCTTTTCTTGACATTAAATTGGTTTCAAAACGCAAAAATAAAACTTAAAGGTACTTAAAACCCAAAACCTTAATGGCATAATTTTGAGTTTTTTTTAGATTATTTCTCCACTGTCCGTATTATAACTGTGCCAACTCTTCTAACCATCTTCAATCCAACAATAATGCTCTGTAAAGAAGTTGTATGTAATTAGTGCGTTTGGGGGATTAACTGAGAGCTTGTTTTTGTTCATCTGTTGTGTATTGTTCCTACGCCATGTTTGTTTCGAAGTGAATGCAACAATAAAACGTAACTACTGCCTCAGAATTGTCACGGTCTTTTATTTAGCTTTGCAGAAGAGAGAGAAAAATGAAAATGATGCATAAAAAATGAAATATTTTAAACTAATGACATGATGTGTTTTGACTGGTGAGTTACAGAGGCTGCGTTGAAGGTCATGAGGAAATTAAACCTTGTGAGCTCCAGAACACTCAAGGACAATATAAGCCAACCCAGCTGCTGTCAACATTAGAGCCAGTTCCACCCGCAAGCGGCAAAGAAGGGCCTTTGCCAAAGTAAACTTGTAGTTTTGTCATGTACGTGCCTAAACCTCCTGTCCTGTATTTTTCAATTCAACTCTCCCACCGTCTGCTTCTTCCTGTTTGGGCACTTTTTGTTTTTTCCTTGTTTTCTTATTATTGTTTATATTTTTTGTAGTATTTCTGCCTAGTTTTGTTTTTGTAAGTTAGTTATGTTTTTGTGTTCTTTTTTGTACTCATTTCTGGCAGGAGGCCTTAAACGTGAGAGCCCGGCTCCTCCTCTCTCTCTCGCTCTCTCCTCCTCCTCGTCCGCCGCCGCTGCAGGTACCAGAGCACTCACGCCTTGTGCTGGGAGCCGCCCTGCTGGCTCCCCTGCTCCTTCATTTGGGTAGTGTTTGTTTTGACCTGGTGGGACCGGCTGTCCTGTTTGCGTTTTTTTGTTGGGTTTAGGTTGTTGGGTTTCTTTTTGTCTTTAGTTGCGGGTGCTGGCACCAGTTCCTACGGTCCTGTATAGGGTTGGTCCGGTGTCGCACCCTTTTGTTCTTTTTGGCCGACTCATCAGGTCCACCTTTCCTTCGTTACTTTTTGGTTTGGGTACGGGTAGGGTTTCTTTTTTGGGGTTAAAACCATCATTACACTAAGAAAAAAATAAAAGAACTCTAACCTTTAATAAGGTCTCCGTGTCCTTTGATAAATATGTTGAGACTCATGTTTCTGGGTCGTAACACTGTTGCAAAACACCATAGAACTGATGTAAACACTGAAGTCAAGCTTCAGTGTAGGAGTATAGGAAAAATATATATAAAATGTGTACTCTTCTCAGTTAAAACATTTGTGTGAATAATTGGGTTTTGTAAATTGACTGACTGCACTAAGATACTTAGATGCTTCATGTGACTAATTATACTCTGAATCATTCTCATCTTTGAGTGATTTATTTTATTTTATTCAAAGGTACGTCATTGTCCCTGTAGGGAAATTGACTTGGTTGGCGTTTCCAAGTATTTGTGGGTTCTGGTAACTAGTAACCATGTGGAGCCATTGTAGCAGGGTGGAGGAACGGAGGCTGAACAGGACCTACTGGAGCTGGTGCTTTTCCTCTCATTTTCCTTTGTCTAAAGTTATCTTTCGTAGACCAGTCTGGGTACATGGCCTGGTGCTCCCTCTTGGCCAGTCCTGCCTGTTGATAGTACGGGGCTTGTTCCTCGTCCGTGAGCGATTTCCATCTCTCCCTGGCGATTTTATTAACTTCTGCAGAATTTCTAATATTAATCTCTTTCATGATTATCTCTCGCTGCTCAGTCTTATAGATCAAGGTGTTAGGGGGTTTCTTTATATAAGGTTTGTTGATGTTATTTTCCGTCCTGTAAACAATAAATACGTTTGTAAGTAAGTAGGTTCACTGACAGACAGTTAAATTTAAAGTTAAATGGCTCATATTAGGCGATTTTCTGTTATAATGTTGCTTCCTCATCACAAACAGACCTGGAGTTGGTATTGTTTCGATAACATAGACTGTATAAAGAAGTGGGCTAAGGCAGTGTGACGTCACCCATAGCATTCAGCTCAAATGAAGCGTCAAATGAAGCTCACGAGGCTAGCAGTTAGAGTTTCATATTAGGAATAAAAAATTATTTATGGACAAAATAGCAAAATAAAAACATCTGGATCATGCAGAGCGGGTTAATATGAACATTTTAAGACCAAAATCATGAGACTCACAGCAGCAGTTACAGAGAGAGGGGTGACAATTTTTCAATGTAAAGTTAACTGGAACCAAAGTCGATGGAGCCAGAAGCGCCCCCATATTCACTTCCTATTTGTCCATTTATATTTACAGTCTATGATCAAGACTCAAGTTTTCAGATTGATCCTTTTGTTTGCATTATTATTAGCCCTAAAGTTAAAGACAATATTTTTGTAAACGACATGACTGATGTGTGTTTGTGGTGTTGTGTGTGACAGGGATGGGTACAGTTACCGTGTGCAGCTGGGGAAGCACAGTCTGGAGGAGGAAGAGGACGGCTCCATCACTCTGAGCGTGGCCAAGGACATCAAGCACCCCAAGTACCACGACCATCTGAGCCGGTAACACAACACCAGACACTAACACAGGAATATGAGGCACAGAAGAGAGTCCATATTTGTCTGAAATCAGAAACGTGATTAAACTCACCTGTAAATGTGCTTAAGATTTAAAGACATGATATAAAATTGACTTTTGGAGTTTTGGAGGCCAATGTTTTGTTCTCATTATCGTGCTCAAGTTGAATTTTGTTTTTTGAGTGATGAGGTGCTCACAAAATTTCTGAAAAAATGTTAATTAAACAAATTTCTTGTTATAATGTGTCAATACTGTCCACGATAAGTAGGTCAGAACTTGCACTGGAGACCACTGAGAACACCAGGAGCCACAGTGGGGCAGTGGGGGCTTTAGTGCACACTGTTGTTGTGTCCTTAGGCAAGACACTTCACCCACTTTGCCTAGCATGAAAGTTGTGTGTGAGAGTGTTGGTCAGAGAGGCCGAGAGTGTGGATTGGCAGCCTCACTTCTGTCAGTCTGCCCCAGGGCAGATGTGGCTACAATAGCAACTTACCACCAGCAGATGTGGAGTGACTGAAAAAAGAAATATAAATCTGTATCTTTAATCTTAAATCTTTAAAATAATTTCAGTAAAATAGATTTGTGAGTTTATTACCCAGAAGTCATATCGTTCAAGCAAAGTTAACAACATCACAAATGTTTTCTGGGTGTCAACATTAATGACTCCTGTCTGTAGATTAAAAGACAATTATTTTGCTTTTTTTTCTGATCCATGTTATAATGTTGTTTCCTCATCAAAAGGAAGTGCTCCACTGTGTTTTTAAACTCTATACATCTTCACTGGAATCATTTAGATAATTTCAGCCCTGAAATTGCCAATCTCGACTAAACTAAAGGTAAAAGGAGCTTCTACCACTTACCACCACTGAAATCTTCCACTTCATGACATCACAAGGTGGAATAGAGCCGATGTGTCAATTTTGTGTAATATATCACCTTCATATCTCCAAAACATTTTCAGTAATATACAGATGTATTTCCCACCATGTGTAAGTCTTTTTTTTTTCTTTTCTGTATGTTGTGTTTTGTTTTTTTCACATGTTTAACACACAAACTGTGCATCTTTAGGCTGAGGTCTTCTGTGAAACAAGAAGCACTGCAATGTTATGTGATAATATAAGGACTGCTCCACTGTGTTTTTAAAGAAGTCAGCATAAATATTAAACATTTGTGTGTTAAACGTGTGAATGAAACAAAACACAACTCCAGGTGTGTTTATGATGAGGAAACATTGTAACATAGATCAGAAAATAGTCTAATATGGGCCCTTTAAGGATTCTTGTTTGCAGATTAAATGTCTTTCAGTAATTGTCTTTTCACATTGAAATTTCTCTGACAGAAATGACATTGCTCTGCTGAAGCTGGAGAGACCCGTCACCTTCTCTGACACCATCCAACCTGCCTGTCTGCCACCAGCGGGCGCTGTTCTGCCCAATGGAGCTCCCTGCTTCGTCACCGGCTGGGGTCGCCTCACCAGTCAGTAGGACAAACACACCAATATACAGCAATATTATTACCTGTGAAAACAAAACATAACAAAGCATGTACGCAAATTTACAAGACAATAAAACCAAATTCATTATTATTCTGAAATTATATATATGTTTTTGAGGAGGAGACAACATTATAAAATGGATTAAGGCTCACAAGAAGCAATTTAGAGTAATATAGGACCTTTAAGACAGGGGTCTCCAACCTTTTTCCTCCTGTGAGCTTCCTTTACAAATAAAAATGACAGAGAGCTACTAGTTTTAATGGTCACAAGAAATTTAGTATATAAAAGAGCATCAGCAAGGCTTAGATGAGGTACAGTTAGATTAGAGTGACCAGACGTCCCTATTTACCCGGGACAGTCCCAGTTTGGAGCCCTGTGTCCCCTGTCCCAGAAGATTTATACAAAACCAGTGATTTGTCCCAGTTTTGTACAAGAAATGTTCCAGGTGTCCCTATTTTTGACCAATCTGATCCCTTTAAATAGTAAAGAGAGGCATACATTTTCAGTTGTTTAAGTAAAATACAGAAAAGCTGCTGAAAAATGACCAAAACACAAAGAAAATGTGACTAAACTGACTTATATTAGTCATTAACTTTTTCTGAATTACACACTAGATTCACGATTTAGTTATTACCAACCACCACAAACTGAGTGTGTCCCAGTTTTTTTTTTTTTTTTTTTTTTTTAAAATCTGATCACCCTAATTAAGTAAGTAATAAGTTAGATGCCTATAAAACATAAACCATCGTCCATGTATTAGTGCACAAAGTTGGTCATCAAAATGATACATGTACAATAGTAAAAGGCATTTAATTAATCAAACTTTACTTCTTCAGCACAATATGTATAATTCAGAAAGCTACTTGGAAGGGGGTGGAGAGCTACTGGTGGCTCCTGAGCTACAGGTTGGAGACTCCTGCTTTAACACATGGAAACAAACAAAGAACAAACAAACACAGAGCCCTCATCAGAAAGCTGCATTTTTTTAATCTTCTGAGTCTTAAATGTGCTTAAAAACGCTTTATTTTAAGTGAAAACATTACAAAAACATTCCAACTTGTATATTCAGAAATGACTTGAACATTTTGTATCTATATGTCTGTATGTTTTATGTTTTGTATGTGACTACTGACAAACTAAACAGGAAGTGCACCTTTGTTTTTACAGACTATGAGCAGGAACTGAGGAA